AAAGACTATAGAGAGAGCACCCCAATACATTGTATGTTCACATTACACCATCTGACCATCACACCCGTATGAGCTTCTTGGACGTAGTAGTCCTAGTATCCCTCCAATCCTGTCCCAATGCTCCCAGTATCCCTCCAGTCCTGTCCCAGCACGGCTACAGCCCTGTCCCAGTACACCCAGCACGACACCCAGCACCGCTACAGCCCTGTCCCAGTACACCCAGCATTGCTACAGTCCTGTCCCAGTACACCCAGCATTGCTACCGTCATGCCCCAGTATACTCATTATCTCTCCAGCCCTGCCAGTATCCTTGCAGTCCTGTCCCAGCATCCTTGCAGTCCTGCCCCAGCTCTCCCAGTATCCTTGCAGTCCTGCCCCCAGCATCCCCACAGTCCTGCCCCAGCTCTCCCAGTATCCCCACAGTCCTGCCCCAGCTCTCCCCACAGTCCTGCCCCAGCTCTCCCAGTATCCCCACAGTCCTGCCCCAGCTCTCCCAGTATCCCCACAGTCCTGCCCCAGCTCTCCCAGTATCCCCACAGTCCTGCCCCAGCTCTCCCACTGTTCTGCCTCCGCACTCCCAGTATCCTTCCACTCCTACCCCAGCATACCTTTACCCCAGTACTCCCATCATCCCTTTGCTCCTACACCAGTACTCTCATCATCACTTTTGGTCCTGCCCCAGCATCTCTTCAGTGCTCCCTGTATGACCCCCCAGTAAAGCACCAGTGCTCCCAGTATCCCCTCACAGTGATCCTACCAGTACCATCCCAGTAATCCTTAAATCTTCCCAGTACCCATAAGTGCTGCCCCGGTGCTCCCAATATCCCCCCGGTCCTCCCAGTAAGCCCCCCAGCATCCCATAGTTATTGTCCCAGTGCTCCCAGTCGGCGGCCATGGCGGCTCTTTGTGGCGGCCGGCTCTGGGACAATAAGCTGTGTCCGGGCACACGTGTCCCCCTCTCCCCCCTCCTCCACCGCACCTCCACGGGACCCCACTCACCTTTCCTTGTCAGCCCGGTGCTCTGTCCTTCCGTCCTCTTACAACACTTCGCCCGTCTGTCTATCCACCGACCCGACCGACACTGACTGCAAACACTGAGCACATGGGGGGGCGGCCCGGGCCCAATCGGTACAGCGACCCCTGGCGGGGGGAGGAGCGAACTACGAAGTCACGACCACTCCGAGCGGCTTTACTCCGCCCCTTCTCTGTGTTTATCTATTACCCCGCCCCTTTACGACCTCACCCCGCCCCCTGCCATGGTAATATCTATCACCCGCCTCCTACTCTGCATCATATCCCGCCTTCCAGTAAGTGTATCTGCATCACTCCGCCCCCTTTTGTTTTTACATCACCCCGCCCACTACTTATATTCTTCCCGCCCTCACTGTATCATCCCGCCCTCTATTATGTATCTCTATATAGGTCGGCCCCCTTTGGCGAACCAGCCCGCCCCTTTCTCTGTATTACTCCGCCCCCTCCTGAGCATCTGCAGTTCTGCGTTCCAGACTGACCGCCTATTGGTTTGTATGAGGCAGTGGGGGTGTCTGGGAATTGGTCCTCGGCACGACAAGATAGGGTTCCCAGATCCTGCCTAGGGGCAGAAGGTCCTCCTTATATTGGGGGTCAGTGGAGAAGGACCTCCTTAGATTGGGGGTCAGTGGAGAAGGACCTCGTTACATTGGGGGTCAGTGGAGAAGGACCTCGTTACATTGGGGGTCAGTGGAGAAGGACCTTGTTACATTCGGGGTCAGTGGAGAAGGACCTCATTACATTGGGGGTCAGTGGAGAAGAACCTCCTTACATTGGGGGTCAGTGGAGAAGGACCTCGTTATATTGGGGGTCAGTGGAGAAGGACCTCGTTACATTGGGGGTCAGTGGAGAAGGACCTTGTTACATTCGGGGTCAGTGGAGAAGGATCTCATTACATTGGGGGTCAGTGGAGAAGGACCTCGTTACATTGGGGGTCAGTGGAGAAGAACCTCCTTACATTGGAGGTCAGTGGAGAAGGACCTTGTTACATTGGGGGTCAGTGGAGAAGGACCTCATTACATTGGGGGTCAGTGGAGAAGGATCTCATTACATTGGGGGTCACTTATCTGAGTCAAAAATTGCTAATTGCTGCAGGAGCCCGGAAGAACCTCTGGAGGAACTTGGAAGAACCTCTGGAGGAGCCCTGAAGAACCTCTGGGGGAACACTGAAGAACCTCTAGAGGAGCCCTGAAGAACCTCTAGAGAGGTCCTGAAGAACCTCTGGAGGAACCCGGAAGAACCTCTGGAGGAACCCGGAAGATCCTCTGGAAGAGCCCTGAGGAACCAGGAAGGACCTCTGGAGGAACCCGGAAGATCCTCTGGAAGAGCCCTGAGGAACCAGGAAGGACCTCTGGAGGAACCCGGAAGATCCTCTGGAAGAGCCCGGAAGAACCTCTGGAGGAACCCGGAAGAACCTCTGGAGGAAAGCGGAAGAGCCCGGAAGAACCTCTGGAGGAGCCCCGAAGAACCTCTGGAGGAGCCCGGAAGAACCTCTGGAGGAGCCCGGAAGAACCTCTGGAGGAACCCGGAAGAACCTCTGGAAGAGCCCAGAAGAACCTCTGGAGGAACCCGGGTTGAAGAAGTCTTGAGAATGATTTTCAGTTCTGACATTGACATACACATGATCATGAGACGCGGGATCCCTCCCCCGGTGCGTGGTTACACAATGTCAGGGATGGGTGAGGTGTGTTTGGACCGGCCCACGTTCACCCTCCAGCACCTGTCACTACTTGTCCCGTGGAACCGGTTGGAGATCCCTCAGAAGGTGAGCCGACTGTCTTCTCAGCTGAGGTTCCTGCGTGGAGAGAGACGCGGGGGAGGTGGGAGAGGAAGAGGTGAGTACCATCTCCGGGTGACATGATGGTCCTCCGGCTTCAGCACTCCTTCAGTCACTGACCTGTCAGGGGTTCCGGAGGGATTGAAGCCGGGGGATCAGCATGACCGGCAACTGGAATGTTAGGAATGTGCTGAGCAGAGGGGAACATCGAATGTCTGAGACACCCAACACGAGGCTGAGATCAGTACGTCAGACCGTCACGTGATCGCGCTATAGACAGGGCATGCTGGGAGTTGTAGTCCTCCTGTGTATACTATACAGGACATGCTGTGAGTTGTAGTCCTCCTGTGTATAATATACAGGGCATGCTGTGAGTTGTAGTCCTCCTGTGTATACTATACAGGGCATGCTGTGAGTTGTAGTCCTCCTGTGTATACTATACAGGGCATGCTGTGAGTTGTAGTCCTCCTGTGTATAATATACAGGGCATGCTGTGAGTTGTAGTCCTCCTGTGTATACTATACAGGGCATGCTGGGAGTTGTAGTCCCCCTGTGTATACAATGCAGTGTATACAGGACATGCTGGGAGTTGTAGTCCTCCTGTGTATACTATACAGGGCATGCTGTGAGTTGTAGTCCTCCTGTGTATACTATACAGTGTATACAGGGCATGCTGGGAGTTGTAGTCCTCCTGTGTATACTATACAGGGCATGCTGGGAGTTGTAGTCCTCCTGTGTATACTATACAGGGCATGCTGTGAGTTGTAGTCCTCCTGTGTATACTATACAGGGCATGCTGGGAGTTGTAGTCC